TCAACTTGTAAACCTTGTACCAAGTAGCATGCAATTTCTGAAAACATGCAACACTGAAAGAAATGAGATCTCATAAATTATCTGTTTGGAATGAGTCATTTAGTCACAAACACACCCTGGGTTGATACTTCATTCTCGATTGATCACCCACTTGTCCGGGTAGTGTTTTATACTGGTCGTGACTTATTAGTCACCAACACGCCTTGGGTGTCACAATCTTAACTTATCACCCACTTATCCGGGTAGTGTTTTATACTGGTCGTAACTTACTGGTCAAATGCCCACCCTTAAATCATCAAACTTTAGTATGGAAAAGCATGCTAGAGTTATTCGAATCGTGATTAAACACATAGCATGCAACTGATCATAAAACGTCATACATGTAAGACATATCATGTATGTAAACTGAAACATCATGCATTTGTACCATCATCATATAAATCGTATAATGCTTGAAAATAAATTTATACATAGGTATGCATCCCATTGTAAGTCTCATGAAGACTCACCTGATAACGTCAATTGCTTACTTAACGGTGCTGACTGGTAACCTACAATTTATAATAGCGAACGGTACATAAATGATAATTTCTCCCAAGGCTAACATAAAGTCAACTTACGATCAACTATGTTGACTAGGGTCGACATTGGTCAACTACTCGCTAATTACTCTAAAAGTTTTATTAAGCCATCGGGACTAAGATTGAGCTTCTGGATATGCCTCTGTGCTAAGACGATAGTCTTGGGGAAGACCAGAGCCTCTGTGGACGACACAGAGCCTCTGTGGTCGACCAAAGCCTCTGTGAACCACCAGGGCCTCTGCCAGAGCCTCTGTGGTTGTAACCATAGAAAATAATTCATCGCCCAGGACCAGAGCCCCTCTGGTCTCTCTTCCAGAGCTTCTGGTCTCGTGGCCAGAGCCTCTGGTTAAACCAACCCATACTTAGGGAATAATTCTACACCAAGGGCCATAGCCCCTCTGCGGTCTCTTCTCCAGAGCCTCTGGTCTCGCGACCCGAGCCTCTGGTTCTAATTAATACTTAGAAAATAACTCATCCAGGACCAGAGCCCCTCTGTGGTCTCATAACTTGATACAGAGCTCTTCTGTCACACATAACTTGGTACAGAGTTCTCAAGCAGAGCTTCTGTATAACATAACGTAATACAGGGCTCTCACAACTTGAAACAAAGCTCATGCAGAGCCTCTGACTAGCATAATTGGACACAGAGCTCTCATGCAGAGCTTCTAACATGATACAGAGCTCTCATGCAGAGCTTCTGTATAACATTCTCTAAGTGGTTTTTACAGTGTGATACAGCGTGTTTACCATTTGAAACCTAAACCTTGAAACCGACCTTAAAACATGCAGTTTGGGACGTGAGCTCTCTAGAGATCTATACAGAACCGAAGGTATAGCTAAACCTTGTATCAACATAAAATTTGGGTCGAGTAATTACCTCTAAACGACGGGAAGCAGGGGGTTTCGTGCTTGGTCTGAACTCCGGTTCCTCCCTCTCTCAAACTCGAC